ACGAGACCACTGCCTGCCATAGATATTATGCTGTGCTGTGCACCTTGGCAGAGGTCACTAGAGATTGGATCAGTAAGCCTCCTGTGAGCAACAGGAAGCTGGCGCAGCCACTTTGTTTTCAGGAAAACTATCCCGAGTGCACCCGATTGTAGATTGCACAGAGATAAAAACGGAGACACCCTCCGACATTAGGCAGTAGCATGTACTGTAACCCTCGTACAAAGGAAGCTACACACTGAAATTCCTTGTTAAAATCATCCCCGATGCAATGGTGGTGTTCAGGTCCAAGCCACACGGTGGTCGACGCTTAGACAGGTACATCACACTAAACTGGATTTTTGACTGTGCTCGAAAGCGACGCCATGGTTCTCACAGACAAGGGATTTCCTCGCATTCGAGCATCGCTCACCAACAGGGGGGGTCATCCTTGCAATGCCACCATTCTCAGCGGGAAGCAACGTTCCGTTCACTCCCGAGGAAATGGAACAGACCTACGCAGTCGCTTTGGTACGCATTCATGTGGAGAGGATGATTCAAAGAATTAAGCTCATCCTGAACCATTGAGTTCCCATTTCAGTGATACCAGCAATGGGAGGTATTTTCCACATGTGCTGTGTTTTGGCAAACCTTCAGCCACACATTATCAGCTCATAGCCTGTGAAATAACTTGAGAACCTTTAGGAACCTTTTATTTTTTTAATGTATTTTCAAGAATTTTATTCCTTTTTCAGCGGCACGTCTTACTCTGTAAACACCTTAATTTTTGTGAGGACCTAACGTTTGCGGTTTGAAGACAATTCACAAGAGATTGATCCCGCAAACAAACAGTTCCATGGTGACCAGTACAAAACATACCCACAAAACATGTTGCAAACAGGCATGTTGAGGAAATCGCGAAATATTGAGCTGGTGAATATCTGCTCATTTATAGTATGAATTTTTGATTATGGGGCTTAACTGAAAATTGCTAGTTACACAAAGGTGCGACTTGCACCAACTTTACGTAGAAACGGCCGTCTGTAGGGAATGAAACTTGTCGAATACCAAGACCGAAAACCGGCAGTTCTGTGCACCTGGTATCTGAAGAAGTCAATGCATACTCGTCACAACAGACCATGCCTGCTGTTTTGTAGTCACTCTCAAGTGACGAGTGCAAAGAAAAAATGTCTAAAAACTTTGCTTCAAGTTTGTACTTGGCCACCATCTGACTCTTACCTGGGTAGTACTGCCTATCCATTGGGCATGATTCCAATAAGATTTGACCACCAAAACATCTGAGCAGTATATATATATATATATATATATATATATATATATATATATATATATATATATATATATATATATATATATCTGAGCAACTAGAGCCACTGCATATGAGAGCTAGCTCCGATATGCAGTGGCTCAAGTTGTGCACAATCAGATAAAAAAACTGTCTAACAAATCTCTCGCTATCCAAATGCGTGCTTGTATAAGCATTCTTCAAATGAACATAAATAGTATATCACCTTCTGTGTTTGTGCATTGTTTGTGAAAGTTTATACTTTCAGAGACCTTGTCCTTGCGCTAAAAACATATAAGCAGTCCTTGAAATGCAGACTGTTTATATGTGTATGCTTCATGTGTTGTGCACTTGCATGGCAATAGGGGTTGCATAATGATGCATTGAATGTTATGAAAGAGGCAATTCTGACTGTCTGCTTGTGTACATAGGGGCTCATTATCTTTGTAACACTGCATGGCGTTGCTGTGTATGGATTTAGTTATTGACAATCGGGGATGCACAGTGATGTTCTGAATGTTGCATAAGAAGTAATTTTGGCTTCCTGTCTGCTATTGTGCATATGGGCTCACCATCTCTATAACCTTGCACGAGCTTGCTTTCTGTATGGTGTTTTAGTTACAGATAAAGTCTGTTAAATAGGTAATTTGTCCATCCAATAAACGTTATAAAACCAAATTGTGCGATACTCAGTGGCTGTAAGGTGTGTACATTCCTCCAGCAATCAACACTTGGAGTGTCCACGGGCATAAGAATCCCCCCCAAATATTGTTTACACAAAACATTGTGTGTCGATTTTATTGGCACTTATAAACACAGGAACTATGGCAGATTTCACATTACAAATGAGTTCTCAAGAAGCAACTGTGACCAAAAGATCCTTGGTAAAGAAGATACAAAAGAAACTTTCAACCTTTCCACTCTGGTGAAGAAGGAAGAGCAGCGGAGCTGCAGCTTGTTTTGGACAGTGGCTCTCCAGGCGAGCGATCTGCACTTCTTTTGGAAGGGAATCTGAAGCGCTCGACGCAGTAAACTTTAGGCGATAGCGTCCTCTCGGCGGTTGCGGAACCATTCGCACTGCTGCGCACATCGCCACTCATTCCGCTCCCATTCTTTCGAAGAAAGGCTGCCGCCATCTATGGCGACAACGGCAACCTATTGTCTGGTTGCTGCCATCGCTCATAGATGGCGGTAGCTGTCCAGAGTTCAGTGTCATCATTTCTTTGTTGGTGAACATAATCCTGGGGAACCTTGCCCTTACAGCTCCGCTGTAAAATGCTCAAGCTTTGAGAAAACTCAAAATTAAATCCATCTCCACTTGACAGCTATCACAGCATTTTTATTTGGTGAGTATGTCTTTTTTTAGTAAACCTGATTAAAAGAGAAACCAAGAAACATGCAAATGTCTGCTCATCCCTGTAATGTGGCCATCTTTAAAATAGATGTTTTTTGTTACAAAAATAATCATTTAGGTTTTAAAGGTTTTGGAAACTACAGCCAAATAAATTTGGAACTTCAGCAGAAATAGGCTTACTTTTGCTTTTTAGGTTTGGCTAATATAAAAATAAAGCTTGCATTACCTCATTCTGTCTCGATGTGCATACTAGGGCTGAATGAGCTCCTTCAAGTAATATCTAAAATAGAACAGCTCAAGAAGCCTGGGGACAGCCCTTGAAAGAAAACCTTCATCCCGCTCGACAACTGGTGACATCCTGCCTCAACGAGTACAAGTAAAAGCAGCACTGGCTAGTATTTGTCAGATACATCACATATTGCACCTGCGTGTAGTCTGTGTGGCGCTTCTTCATCATCAGACGACTGCTATATACTTAACAAAGCTTTCTTCCTTGCTCGCATCGATAAGCACCGTTTTTTTCTTGGATATGGACGATATGCACGACATCACTCGAGAAACAATGCAAACCCTATCCTTTGTTCAGGTGTTGCTGACCGCTGCCCTTGCTGCGACTTCGCCAACCTCGCCTGGAAATCTTCTGCACGACCCGCTGACACGGGATGACTCACGGATCGCCGCGAAGCATGTCGCGACAGGCCCACCAATGCTTTCACCGACCACGCGGCCCGACCCGGACGCGTACATCTTCGACGCCTGGCAACACTCAAGCTCGGGGACATCACGTGACCCCTGCCTCCGCAGACGACTACAAAAGCCCACCACGCGGGACGGCCAGTTGGGGCACGACATCGCTCGAGAAACGATGCAAACCCTATCCTTTGTTCAGGTTGGTCCCCTTTCTAATGCCGCCTGTTATCGTAGTAACGATTTGTGTTTGACGGCGATGCCGTGCCCCTACGTCAAGTGCATTCATGTTCGTTATTTGTCTCTTTTACTACTGCAAATGTCGGGTGACATCGAGTCAAACCCAGGCCCAACTGTGGAGGAGCAGTTGGGTAGTATTCTTGAAACTATCATCAGGATTGAAAAGAGCCAGATCGATGTGCTTGCCGAGCTTGGGCGCGTTCAGAGCACTCAAAAGTCTACCGACGAAAATGTGAGTGCGCTTTCCAATAGAGTTACAGCTCTCGAGGCCCAGTTTGCCGCAGTGAAGGCCTCTCCCATCCGCAATACAATCTCTGTCCTGTTTACCCTATCAAGATATTAAGCCCTTGGTGAAGTCCTCGATTCTTCATTCTTGGCAATTGGAAGGGGACATGGAGTGCGGTAACAAGCTTCATGTTACCAAACCGGCTTCGGGAGTTTGGGAAAGCTCTTCATGCAAAAGCCGACTTCATGAAACGTTGTTGTGCCGTCTGAGAATCGGACACTCTTTTATAACCCATAGGTATCTGCTTTCGGGAGAGGATCCACCAGTCTGCGATCAGTGTGGTGATAGGCTCACTGTTTTGCATATCCTGTGGTTGTGCCCTGGCCTTGAGCCCAAGCACCGCATTCATTTTCCTGAATTTTTTCAACATCATATCCCATTTCATCCTGCTCTCCTTCTGGGAGAGAATCCTCTGGTCTCTTTTGAACGAGTAATTGAATTTCTTGGTAGTATTGGCCTTTTACACCGATTATAGCTTTTTGGTTTTCCGTTTTGTAAAACCCGTTTTATAGTAAGGACCTTCAATTAGTTTGGCGCAGATGGCCTCGTAGCTATTGCGCCATAAACCCCCAAAATCAATCCCATCCGCGACGTTCTTGACCATGAGGCTTCAGGCGGTATTGTGTCGGAACTTTACAAGGTAAATTCGCGATGCGACGACACAGAGAATAGACTGCAGAGGTCAAATCTGCTGTTTTTGGAATTCTGGATTCCGGCTTTGTGCACAAAACCTAGGCGTCCCGAGATGAGCCCCGAAAACCTTGAACACTCTTACCGGCTGGGAAAGTTCTCGGCTAACAAAAACCCGCCGATTATCGTGAGATTCTTGCGCTTTAAGGACAAGCACAACGTTTTGTTCTCTAGAGGAAAACTAAAGGAAACTCAGTACGCGGTGCGTGAGGACCTCTCGCTTTCAGTCTCTCTTTCATCTCTAAACTCTTTCATTATGGCAAATCACTGAACTCCCTTTTCAAAATTCGCTTTGACAAACTGTACGTCAATGACAGGTGTTTCCAGTATGACTCTACGACCGACTCCGTCACAGAGATTCCTAGATAGCAGCGAGGACCTCTCTGTGATCGGTCACCGCTGCCCGTTACTATGCGACGTATAAACAATTCGAATCATACAGTCTCATTCACTAATATCCGTAGCCTCCTTCCCAATAGTGAGGAGCTCAGTGGCTTTATTCAAGATAATAATTCTGACATTGTCATTGTTACAGAAACGTGGTTAAAGCCCGAGATAAGTGACATAGAAATTTCCCCCCTAACTTAATGTTTAATATTTACCAATGTGATTGGTCCGCACAGAGAGGAGGTGGTGTGCTAATAGCGGTAAAAAATGCATTTCTTCCTTTCATATTACTATCAGCTCCAATATCGAGGCTACTTTTGTTTGTGTTACATCGTCCTGCACAAAAACTATTATCGGTGTCTGCTACCGACCTCCGATTATAGCAGCATGTTTTTCCACGAGCATCATTCTCTGCTGCTTGAAATCAATAGCGGTGCCCAAGATCAAATGTCTTAGTCTTTGGCGACTTCAACTTCCCTAACATAGATTGGTTTAGTAACAACTAGTGGGTCCAGTGAAGCCAGGGATTTTCTCGATCTATGCTTAAACCATAATCTCACCCAAGTCGTCGACAAACCTACACGTGAAGACATCCTTGATCTTATTCTAACGACGTCCCCAGACCTGGTGACATCCATTAGCCAAAGGAAAGGTTTTAGCAACCACAATCTGCTGACCGTGGAGTTATCCTTACCCATCCATTATAGAAACCCATCCTCAAAAATGATCAAGGACTACTCCAAAGCCAATTTCGACGCAATGAACAGCAATCTTTCTGCAAATCTGCCTTTGCATACTGCCAGTTTTTACTCTAGGGCTGGCTACTTTAAGAACAAGTTAAATAATCTCGTTGACCTGTTTGTACCCTCTGTACATATACGGAGCGATGATTGCAACCCATGGTATAACAAAGCATTAAGGTCCCTCAACAAAAAGCGATTGTTTGGAAGAGCAAGGCATCTAGACTGCGACGCTGCCTGGGATGCATACTTTTTGTGCCTTAAGACCTACTCAGAACCTTCGTCTGGCTAAACATAAGGTTCTTTATTGAGGATCTTTTTGGTATCCTGCATAACAACCCTAAAAAATTCTGGAAGATAATATCCCCAGGGTTCGCACAGACCCTTGAAATCCTTAAAAGTCCTTGAATTTGATAACATTATTTCAAGGGCCCTTGAAACTCCTTAGATATAAGTGAGCTCCTTGTAATCCTTGAAAATTTCGTGGACTTTGCTTCAATATAGCAAATGAATGACGTATTTCCGTAAGTCGCACTGATTTCAAAAACGCGTTTACTGAGGAATGTTCGCGAAAACATGTAGTCTTGACAGGAGAGCAATAGCAGCAAGTTTCGGTTTCGAAACCGGCAGCGCCTGCGTCTTCTGGCAACAAATGCGAGCCAGAAATCCAATCCAATCCAACGCAAGTTATAGTAACGGTCGGTCGGTCGGTACTCGGTCCGTGCGTCGGCCTCGCGCATCATTTCTCGGCGAAAGTTCGCATTTGTGCTGTGTGCAATGCCTGCAACTTTACTTTGACAGGATGCCAGGCAGAAAGTGCAAGTTTCAGTCTGCATGGCTGGAGCACAGCGAATATCGTCACTGGGTGAGGCCGGAGACAAGCGACTCTTATCGAGCGAAGTGCGCAGTATGTCAGAAGTCGGTCGACATTGCAACAATGGGGGAGTCGGCGTTGAAGAGCCATCAGAAAAGTGCCAAGCACCGATCCAAAGTTGCGGCAGGCGAGGGCTGCTCTTCCGTCACGAGTTTTTTGCAAGCGGCAAACGCCACAAAAACGACTTCTCAGCGGGAAAACACGGAAACATCCTCTCGAGCTGCGACCCTTGACGAAGACTGCAGAAGGCATGACTCCGTGATTGAAGCCGAAATTTTGTGGACGATGAAAGTTGTGTCTTCACACTACTCATACAGCTCCAGCGGATCAGTTTCCGAGTTGTTCCGAAAGATGTTTCCGGATAGCGATATCGCGAGAAGCTTCACTTGTTCAGAAAAAAAATGCGCGTACGTCGCGTGCCATGGTCTGCGCCCATTTTTCGCTTCTCAAGTCTTAGACATGATGGAGAAATCTGAACATTTTGTTGTCCTTTTTGATGAAACGTTAAACGAATACCTGCAAAAGAAACAGCTTGATGTTCACGTGAGACTGTGGAACAATTCTGAGGTGACAACAAGGTATGCGACATCGGCATTCATGGGCCACAGCACAACGGACCTCACGAAGAATTTGACGAAAGCGCTGGCGTCCTTTCCGATGAGCAAAATTGTTCAGCTTTCCATGAATGGCCCCAATGTCAACTGGAGCCTTTTCCACAAGTTCCAGCAGCACAGGAAAAATGACTTTCAAGTTCAGTGTTTGGATATTGGATCATCTGGCCTTCACACAGTGCATAATGCCTACAAAGCTGGAATGCATGCAACAGGATGGCCAGTTGACACATATTTGTCCAGCTTATTCTCACTCTTTCATGATGCACCGGCCATGCGAGAAGACTTTATTCGAGAGACAGGGAGCAGTGTGTTTCCACTTCCTTTTGTATCTCACCGTTGGATCGAGAACGTGCCCGTACTGGAAAGAGCCCTGGCCACATGGGAGCACTTGAAGCAATACACTGAAGCAGTGAGTGGCCGCAGGCTGCCCATGCCAAAATGCAGAGCATATGAAAACGTCAGTGCTTTTCTAAATGACCAGCTTGCACTTGCAAAATTGAACTTTTCCCTGAATGTTGCCATGGTTGTGCAGCCTTTCCTGACTGTTTTTCAGAGTGATTCTCCTAAGACGTTTTTGCTGGCAAAAGAACTTGTAAGTGTTCTGAGGAGCCTTCAGTCAAGGTTCGTAAAGTGCTCTGTAATGACAGAAGCCACCAGCATCACGAAGCTGCTGCGAGTTGATGTTGAAGATGCTGCCGTTTACACAGAACTTGAAAAGGTGGATGTTGGACGTGCAGCTGAGATTTTGAAATGCTGCAAAGCGAGCGCCAAGTGTATGCTTGAGTTTAGGTACGAGTGCCGGAAGTTCCTTGTGAACATGATCCTGAAAGTCATGGAGAGAAGTCCCCTGAGGTACCCTGTCGTTTGTGGGTTGTCATCTTTCGACCCCACAGAGATGTCCAAGACAGACACGTGCCTTGGGAAGCTAAAAATTGTGCTTAACTGCCTAATCGACAATAAGCTTCTCTCTGAGCACAAACGTGACATTGTGTGCACACAGTACATTCAATTTTGTCTAGAAAAACGGCATGAACTACAAAACTATGAAAAAGATCATGAACGTCTTGACAGTTTTTTCGTGCGGCTGCTGAAGCACGATGCTTCATTCTCGCAGTTATGGGCTGTGGTGAAACTACTTCTCCTCCTGAGCCATGGGCAGGCCTCAATGGAAAGAGGCTTCAGCATCAACAAGCAGGTTGCGGTCGAGAATTTGGCAGAGCTGTCGTATAGTTCTCAACGAGTTATCTGCGAGGCTGTGAAAAGCCATGGTGGCCTGCTGAACGTTCCGATTTCAAAAGAGTTGAAGGCGTCAGTGCGCCAAGCCCGGCATAGGTACGCTGCATACCTAGACGAACAAAAGAAACAAGCACTGTCACGGCAGGCAGCTTCAAAGAGAAAAGAACTCGAGCAAGAGCTCGATAAGATGCACGGAAGGCAGTCAAAGCTTCAAAAAACTCTCAAGTGCCTGCTGGAATCTGCGGACCGTTTTTCGGAAGAAGCTGAAGCGAAAAACGACCTTACCTACTTAGTCAAGGCAAACAGCTTTCGTCGAACTGCTAAAGAAAAGGAGCTGGAGATAGCTTCTGTGGAAAAAGAAATCCATGCAAAAACTGCGCTGCTTCCATAAGTCTTGTAAGCAAATAAAATTTTGCTAACACTCCTTGAATTTTGCCATTTTTCATCCTTGAAATCCTTGAGTTTTCAGTCAAATATCCTGTACGAACCCTGTATCCCCTAACTCTCGCTCCTCCTCTATCCAGCTAACCAACGAGGACGGGTCCCCAATATCTGAAGCGGACCGTGCCACAGTATTAAACAACTATTTTTCGTCTGTGTTTACATTAGAAGACGCCGACGTCCCTATACTGCCAGCACTACCGTATGAGTCAATGGAACCTATTGACATCTCATGAGCTGGAATAGCGAAACTTCTTGACAACTTGAAATTGACATCTTCTGGAGGACCTGACGACATCACCCCCAAAATTCTTCACTACACCAAAGCAATATCCAGCGAATTTCTCTACTTAATATTCTCGCAGTCCTTATCGCAGCGATGCCTACCATCCGACTGGAAACTGGGTAAGGTCGTTCCGGTCTTTAAAAATGGGGATCGTTCTTCGGCGTCGAACTAACGCCCTATATCTCTAACCTGCGTAGCCTCAAAACTCCTAGAGCATATTATCTACTCAAACGTATCTCATCTTGAGAGTAATAACTTCTTTTACAACAAGCAACACGATTTTCGTAAGGGACTGTTTTGTGAGACGCAACTCGTAGAATTCACCCACGAGTTATACACTAATTTTGAATCCAACCACCAAACTGATGCCCTATTTTTGGACTTTTCAAAGGCTTTCGACCGCATTGCTCACTGTCACCTGCTTGCCAAACTTTCATGGCTCGGAATTGACCCTCTCATTCTCTCCTGGATCCAGGATTTCCTCTCCTCTCGCACTCAATTCACCACAATTAATAGTTCCTCATCCACCCGCACTGAGGTTACTTTGGGAGTTCTCCAGGGCTTGGTTCTTGGTCCCCTACTTTTTCTGATTTTTATTAATGACATTCCAGGCAAAATTTCCTCTAACTTCCGCCTTTTCACTGACGACTGCATCTTATATCGAAGGATAGCTTCTTTTGAAGACCATCTTTTGCTTCAAATAGACCTGGACGAAATCCAGGCATGGTGCACCAGGTGGTTAATGATGCTAAACAAATCTAAATGCAAGTTATTCCAGTTTTCACGAAAATGGCAGGGATCTCAGTTCTCGTACAAGTTAGAAAATAACTTGGTCGAAGACGTCCCGTCCTATAAATACCTCGGTGTGACTCTTACTACTGATATTACCTGGAACGCCCACATCGAGCTTACATGCGCCGAGGCGTCTCGCTGCCTCGGTTGCGTAAGACGAAACCTGAAATCGGCTCCCCCATTTGTGCCAAAATTGGCTTATAAGACATACATTCGACCCAAATTGGAATATGCTGGGGCCATTTGGAGCCCTCACCAAATATACTTATTAGATCACCTCGAGGCAGTCCAGAACCGCGCTGCCAGGTTTATTTTGAAGAAATACGATTGGTCGGTTAGTGTATCCGCCCTAAAGAGCGAACTGAACCTTCCTTTACTAAACGTCCGCCGTAAGATAGCGACTCTGTTTTTTTCACAAAATTTACAACTACCTCCCTGCGCTCCGAGACCCGCTCCTCCTACCTCCCAGGCGATCATAGCGGCTAAATCACCCGTGTCACGTTTCTCGCATGTCAGGCAGCACATCCTATTATAAATCCTCCTTCTTCCCTCGTACTATTGTAGACTGGAACGACCTACCCTCACTTATTGTAACCTAAACGGATCCCACCGCATCTCGCAACGCTCTTTGTGCTCATTTCTGTTAATCCCACTGTGCCTTTCTATTTGTTTGTCTTGTACTTTACTGGTTGCCATGTATCAATGTTTTCATCCCCTTACGCTCCCCATGTACCCAGACTAACTTCTGTATTGCCGTTGCTCGTGGCAATGTTGTTTTGCAACACCCCATGTACTCGCATATGTCGTTACTGTTTTATGCTCTCGTGTTATGTACCCTTTCCTTACGTAATGCCCTCAAAATAAATAATCTCGAATAGTTTCGTCCCATCGCTGGTCTTGAGGCAGCCATGGCTGTGTTCCAGCCCCGACTGATTCTTCAAGTACACTATCAAGCCAACTTAAGTTTATATTGGTTGTGACATTAGGGTGATCACACACACACACACTTCTGCAATAGAACTGTGATAAACAATAAAAACAAAAACACAAGTTTGGGAGACAAGGGTAATAGAAAATTTAATAAGAAACTGTTCGCAAATAACACTTCCTCTCAGTTTTGCGTACACTTTCATTGAAGAAAACTGCTTGGGGAGCATAAAGTAATACTTGTGTGCCTGCCATGCAAAGGTCTAAATCCTATCATAACAAGCACCTCTCCATTAGAGATTTCTTTTGGCTATTCAAATTCCTGATGTAAAATCTATTGCTGCTCCAAAAGTCGAAATAAACTTGACCATACCTTGTTTCAGCTTAAGTCAGCACAGCAAACACTACGTGCCAATGTAGCCTGCAAAAGCACAGCGTTGCTGCGTTCGTCACTCCTCTGCGCGTGTAGCACTTTGCACTTTTTTCTGTGTTGGTACGGTATGTCACCTAGCCTTTGACTGCGCTCCGACTTAAGTGCCGTTCACACACTTGCAACCGAGTAGTGCCGAGGGAGACAAGACCAGATTTTAAGCCTCTTGCGATGGCATAGGACCAGATACACTGCTGTGGAGCAGGTCCTACGCTGCTGCAAGAGGCTTAAAAATCTAGCCTTGAGCGTGCTGTGCATCTGGCACAGCAGTTCGAGCGGATGTCTCGTGATTGCAATCTTTTTCGACGTTTGTCAAAAGATCAATATTCAAACGCACCACATGTGGTACATCATATCCAAGATAGCTGCTATCGAGGTCCATTGGGCAGCCATGCATACCAAGATAGCAAGGCTTCGTCTTTTGGGAAGTCCCCTTCTTCTCCTCCCCTGTCGGGTCGCAAGTCGAGACCTCCTTGCCCGTTCGTCGTTCACCGCTTGCGTGATCCTCTTTGTGGAGCGAACAAGTGCTTGTCATGCGACAGCACTATTTTTTTTTTTTTTGTGGTCGCTGGTACCACGCGCGGTAAGAATTTCCCGCGTCTCGAGCTACGTGTTTTTCGTGTAGTCGCGGGAGCCACTTCACCATTGTCTGCCGAAGTTGTCCGAGGGGCAACCGTGACCAGCGTTAGCTGGCCCGTCCTGCTGGGGGTGCCTCCGTCTGCCACTACCACTGTCGATGGGGGAGCCTAACCAGATGCGAACTCCCATGCAAGGCATCATCATTGTCCCGGACGATGACGACGACTTCCCAGCAACCATCTGCACCGTGGCGTCGCCCGACGGTTGTCCTTCGGAACGGCGGCCTGATCGTCCACTGAGGCGGTGCCATATTTGTGGAGGCCAACCTCCTCCAAGGCGATTTTGCCCGGCCTCCCATGTTGCTTGTGGCAAAGCAGGGCAACTTTTACTTTGTCTGCGAGTCTTGACCTCAGTGGCCACGACTCGACCGTGGGAGGCCCAGCAACCTTTCCACCCTCGCCGAATCCGGCTAATGGAGGCGTCATTCATCAAGGTGCACCCAAGCACCGCGTTGTCCTTCAGCACCCAGAGTGCTGCTGTTCCGGGGAAGCCCTTTTCCCCCTGGAGCCCTCAATGTCTGCTGCAGCACCGCCTGCAGCTCTGCCAGCTGTTCTTCCAGCCGAGGGTCCTCAAGAAGCAGAGGAACCTGTGCTTGGACACGAAGCTGCTCTGGCAGCTGAAGACGTCCAGTCGGCCAGCACCACATCCGACAGAGCAGCAGTGCTAGTGTTGTCACCACCCAGCGTGTCGACCCCCAGCTAGAGCCATCAGAGGCCCAGACGCCGCTACTCCACTGCAAGTGTCGTGTGTCATCAGCGTGACTCTCACCGCCTGTCAGATCGGTTTCTAGACTTTTTCCTAAATATTTATGGCAGCGTGTTGGTGATATATAGGACGTATAATCTTAATGTGAACACATCAGACTAATTTTCGTGTGTGAAGCAGTGATCTTTTTTAACTTCAGTACTGCTTGCCTCACCTCTTGGTGCAAGTTTTCAGTTCTTCAGTCCTTTTACCTAATGTGTCTTTCTTCTATGTTTTTGGCTTACAGGTTGTCAGATGTCATGATTTCAGTCAATATGTGATCAGTCCATTAGCATTATCACGAGTTTTCAGAACATTTGTCACAGAATACCTTTCAAGTGTTATGCAGTTAGGTGTTGTTGCTGAGTATATATTCAATTTTTCAAGGGAAGAACATAGTAAATTACTTCTTAATAAAGGGAATATAGGAAATTACCCTTCATTGGAGTGATTTAACATTCAATTTCAATACAGATGGAAGTCCTCTATTTAAGTCTTCAAAATCATCAGTATGGCCAATTCAGTTTGTCATTAACAAACTGCCGCCTAGTCTCCGCTTTCAGCACTGCATGCTTTCAGGCCTGTGGTTTGGACCTAAACACCCCAACATGGCTACATTTCTCAAAAAGTTTGTAGAAAGTGTCAAGAGCATGAAAGAAATTACATGGGAATTCGACTCTAAGGTGATCGCATCAAAGGTCCATCCACTGCGTTGTTGTCTGGAAGCACCAGCACGAGCTGCTGTCCGGAGCTCCACTCTATTCAACGGTTTCTTCAGTTGCTCCTGGTGTCTTGCACGAGAACATAAAGAGGGTCAGTATACTCTACATGTTTTCAGAGTTTGTATCTTTATCTCAAGGTGGTCACCTAATAACACCAAAATGCTAATCACAACAGAGGCATACATTGTATCTTAAAAGTGGCAAATAAGCAAGTTTCATCATTTGTTTACAGGAAGCTTGAGGTACCTTGATGTGCTACCTCACCAAGGGTGGGCGGAGAGCGGAGTTCTCCGCGACATAGAGCTTGCAGTGGAATTCAACGCCCCTGTGAATGGTACCACGGGACCTATGCCCCTCGTGAACTTTCCAAACTTCAATCTGGTGTGGGGATACACCGTGGGATACATGCATTGTGTACTCCTTGGTGTAACAAGGCAATTTACCGACCACATGCTCAACTCGGCACACTCTAGAGAACCATACTACATTGGTAAGCTTCTCCTAAATGTGACTGTATCATGCACTTAGTTAAAAATCTGTGTAATAGACTGGAAACACACAATAAAGTTTGAATTCAGCTATTAGAAACTGATCTCAGCACGCTTGTGAGATCAGTTGATCTCACAATTTTGCTGGCACCTTGTCTGTATTTCCATTGGATCAAAAGTGCCTAACTGTTTACATCCTGCTGAAGGGTTATTACAGATTATCAGAAGAGAAATGTGGTTTGTAAATTTGAGGTTAAAATTAACTTCATTTGTGAATACTTCTACACAATATGTGAAAAACATAAGGTAGGTCGTTATGCATGTTTCCAAAGTTTACTACTCGGTCAAAAAATCTTTTTTACATTTTTGCATTTCTTGAAGAACAATAATGTCAAGCATATAGTATAACAATAACACCAAAAAGCCTGAATTCTTTTTCAACCCATCCCAAGTGTGCCCTGACCGGAAAGCATATGGCCCGGCCATAACCAAATGCGCTAAACACCTGAGCTTTTTTCACCTATACATGATCATAAATTGAAATGTCATTTGTGCCTGTGGGAAGCTGTGGGCATGATGCAGCTGTTGTAGACAATCCTAAATTTTATGGTAGAATGTGATCATAATGGACATAATCTTAGGTGGCAATATCTGGCATAGTACACCAATAGTTTGTGCCAAATGATAAATGAAGCAATATTGTGCTTGCGTGTTAAAAGAACAGCATGAAGCTTTTTAAGGTGTTTTGGGTATAAATTAGATTGCTCATTCTTCGTCGCAACATGCATTTTTAAGGGATATCGCAAACCTGCCGAGGTTCAAGTTCGACCAGGTTTAAGTGTTCCAAAACCTTCACTGTGAAGTCTGAAGTTGGCACTATTGTGTGGACATGCAAGAACTTACCTGACGAAGGAGGGTGTAGCAGCGTATTAGAAAGTCAATGAAGTCATTAGAGAATAGTTCTCCGAATTTTTCACTATAGTCTTCGTCAAACTTTCACAAACGCTCGAAGGTTCGCTGGACTTACAAACGTCGAGGTTCCACGTTAAACTCAAAGTTCAGCAAAGGACTTACGAATCTCGAGGTTTTACGCTGAACTCAAATTTCAGCAAAGGTTTGTGACACCCCTAGTTTCAAGTATTAGGAAGGTAATAATACGAGTTTCCAACTAGTCTTATAATTATAGGGTCTCAACGTTTCGAAACCAAGTTGGTTTTGAAACGTTGGGAGCCTACAATGATATGATTGGTTGGAGACTCGTATTATTACCTTAAGTTTTATGCAGCCAGACAAATCACTGTCAAATGTTCAGCTTCAAGTGTTGAGAAGCAGCTTCAGGGCAATGGTGAAATGCTGTTGTGGCTGTAAATATATTACATTGCCCAAAACAATAATCTATTCCAGAATACATTTTACTATCACTGAATACCTGTTCTCACATACTTAGGCAACTTAAAATCAGTAAAAAAATTTCTCTAGGAAGCGCTCGTCAGCAGAAGTGAGTCGCCGGCTCCTGGCTATCCAGCACCAGCACTCCTTTACACGCCTGGCACAGTCGCTCTCAAAGTGTGCATATTGGAAGGCCAGAGAGTGGCACCACTGGCTACTTTAGTACAACTTCCCATGCAGCTTCAACATTCCACCTCATTGATACTGGAACCACTGGGGTACACACGTAAGGGGCATCTACATAGTTTCAAAGGAGATAACACCTCATGCTCTCAAGAAAGCAGGTGAGAATTCATATTTGTATATGAAGTGCTTAAATTAGGAATAACAAACCTGTTAAAAAGGGTCTCTTGCAAACTTAAAATACCTATGCTGATTACAGAAGACTCTCAATGGCTATGACCTGGAAATTACAAAGTACACAGAAGGGACAGTAAAAAATGAAGAAACGAGTAGGTATTGAAACGTCTGGAGCTAATGTATAGCAATTGGTTTGGAAATTTTATTTATTTCATAAAATCGTTAGCAGTTTTCAACAATCTTAAGACAATGATAGCTAACACGATGATCAATGAATTGAACACGAGTTAAAATCATTCCAGCCTATAGACCCCTTGCGGGAAACCCGGCAACAGTGTCTCGGCATGGTAACCTTGGCAACACCAGAGGTCAGCAGCTGCGTGCCATGGTAAAAAAAAAATGGCCACTACCTCGCTGTGCGCAACTGAACGTTAAGCGCTTCATTGGTTCTTGTAAGGACAGTTTATGAGTATAAGTGAAGATGCCAACACACTGCTGTTTCCCTGTGTGCACACAGTATGGATACGTTGACAAATCCGGACGAAAGGTACATATATATACATATCGGACCGTCCGCTACCGCGGCCGTTTGGCTAGCCTCATGAATTCGCACGCATTTGCTTAATGAGATTAATATATTGGCTCTACATTATACTGCTTTGCATTTTCGTTACCATTGCTGTTAGATACGTTTGACCCCGGTAAACGAAAGCGTCGGTTTCATGCGACGCATCCCCTGCCGTTTGGCCAGCCTCAGGATTTGGCACGCAGTTTTCACTGTACCTTTACTTCGTGTTAACGATAGACAGAGACCGTTGGCGTGGCTAAACATGCGTCGAATTTGCGTATCAGTCCCGCTAACGTTTTCTGCTCTTTAACAAACTACACATGCCAAACGCCAATAAAAAAAAGCTTTGCACCCACACACATTGTTGGAAAATCTTTGTTACAGAAACATACAGTACCACCGTGTCACTTTATGCTGCCATGCAATATTGGGACAGCACCGCACTAAGTTTCCCTTGAGGGCATCTTTTTTAAGCAAGTTTAGTGGGCTAGATACTTTGCGGACTCCAAAAACGACTTGCAGACACATCATGATGACAGTTCTTTATTTTCAGGGTTTATACCAAAGGTTTCCAGGCGATGCCGAAATAAAAAAAAAATGGATTGCTGCCATTAAGAGGGATGAGGGGCCACTCCCTCAGGTCTTGGAGTCGACAAATGTCTGTTCATTCCATTTTCTGCATAAATGTAGAGTTCTTCACAAATGTTGCAAGCGGCCATCGCCTTCTGTGGGAATCTGCCTTGCCGCAAGTTTTCTCATTTGGAAAGACGAAGCCCCCAAGGAAACCGCCTGGCCAACGAACTGCTTCAAGTGCCCAAAAGTCCAAGGAAAGCAAAGAGCAACATGTGCCAGCTGACGACGACAGCCAGCCTCAGTGGAAGAGGAACGTCCAGAGTTGTCAAGCACCCCCCCGACAAGAACCAGGCCCCACTACAAGAGGTTTTTGCAGGAAACGAGAATCTGCCTCAGCGGCGCACTTCTGCTGGCCACTGCAAGTGTGAAAAAATAATCTCCGAGCTGGAGCACCAGCTTGCCGCAGCTAGGGACAGCGAGTCTATGGTAAGGGCAGAGCTAGACAGCAGTGAGCGGCAACTAGCAGCGCAGGCCACAGAGCTGAGCCTCGCTCATAGCGAGCTTACTAGTGCCCAGACAAAGGTAGTAAATCTCTGCGACAGGCTAAAAGTGAAGAGCCAGGAGCTCAACATGCTTAGAGATGAGCTAGTTTCTGCCCAGCGCTGCCTGGAGAAATTAAAAGGGGATTATGCACCGTTTGGAATTGAGAAATTCCCACCACTGTGCAAATCCAAATCCAAATTTTAGAGTTACTTCCATGAGCGCTGTGTTGTGGCGGCACCACTATCGCGAAGGTTATAAAAGAGCAAGCACGAATAAAGATAAGGTTGTTCTGCACCGGTACTGGAGAGTGTCACTTCGGCTGCGTCGGCAGCAACACAACAGTGGCGACGAGCAGCGAGCACAGCTCCCCGGGGAATCCGTCGACACATTTGTTGCCGAACTACGGGACCTGTCCTCGAACTGCGAACTTGGATCCATGGCAGACGAGTTCATCCGAGACCAGCTGGTGGCAAAGATTTCAAGCCAGCAGCTACGAGAACGCCTTCTTCTGGAAGGTTCTGGTCTCACGCTGGATCGGGCGCTGGTCATCGGGCGTCTGGTCGAAGAAGCAGTCCACTACTCCAAGGAACTTGTATCGTCTTCAGCGGTGCAAAGGGTGGACGCTAAGACTACACTGAACGTCGGACGACCACCGGCACCCAGGGTCGCGCTCCCACAGTCACCGCACGCAACATCGCAAGACGTTCCCGAGACACCGTTCCCAGTTGCATGACAGTCACCTCGCACAACAACATCGGAGAGAGCGGTACCGTCATCAGAGTCATCTGTCGCCCCATCAGGACTACGGAGATCTGCCAGGCAGACATCGAGGCCTCGAAGACTGGACGATTCTGTGTTATATTAAGTGCTTGTTGTTGTGTTATCTTGAATCTGTAAATATTTGTGTTCCAGTCATTTTTCTTTTCTTGAGGGGGGGGAACTGTTGTGGCGGCGCACTATCGCAAAGGTTATAAAAGAGCAAGCACGAATAAAGATAAGGTTGTTCTGCACCGGTACTGGAGAGTGTCACTTCGGCTGCGTCAGCAGCAACACAACACGCTGCTCGGTTTTGTGCCTCGCCAGCCTCGCTCCGTGCTCTTTTTTCACTTTGTGTCTTTTTCCCCCTTTTTTCTGACCCTCAGTGCATATTTTTTTTCCCTCTCAATGCCGTGTTAATCTTGAAAATTTTACTTGTTTGTAGAGCTAAGCGGCATGTACGCGCTGATCCGCTTTCTCGAGGATCTGGACAATTGGAGGCACGTAGTACCAGTGCACGTCATACACGACTTCCATCCTACGAACAAAACAGATTTTGACAACAAAGCCGTATACACGGTGTTCCGGGATGATGACGTCGGTGAGGACACGGGCGACTACAATGCGAAAATTCTCATGCTCGCCGGTAAGTGCTCGGTGTCGGGCCTCGAAATTAGGTTGCCGTTGTGCCTCAAACCTTGGACTTCATATTAAATTTCTGCACTATTACTTTTACAGCCACTAAAGAATTGTGGAAATGTCCCAAGAGGGTCCCAGTGCCAAAGGTTGTGGTTTAAGAAGATTTAGAGAGCTCGGGGGACGAAACATCTACTCAAAAAAGGAAACAGGTAGCTTGTAAAACTTCATTTCGAGCCAGCTGTTCCAAGCTCTACAATCTGGTGGAAAAGTAAGAGAATCTTTAGTGTACAAATTTTGCCCGCATGCAGTAAAAAAAAAGAAAACAAACCAGGCCACTACAAAGAAGGACAGCTACGACACAATTCTTCAAGACCAACTCCGCCAGGCCCATCAGAAAGCCAGCACCAGCCAAGGCATTGTAAGTATTGTGCTCATACAAAAATTCTTTTTTTTCTCTTTATATGTGGCTGACAATGCTATGAGATTTTTTTTTCTTTTTTACTTTCCAGGGTAGTGTAAAGCACAAAAGGTTGTGCCCTTCCCCCAGCACATCGGACTCTGACGACACGCTTGTTTCAAGCAAAGAGGTTGCAGAAGCGAGCAAGAACGCCCAATATTATTAGAGCAGGTGCCTGGAGCTCTGGGAGGACAACATCTTCCTCCAAGAGCAGGTGAAGGCATTAACGGCACTCTTGGGATCCAAGATCTCTAGGCGTGAGTAAAACGTTTTTTGCTTGTGTACTTTGTTTCCAAAGCTGTTACAGCTGTTCTACCGTGCAAGCTGTGTCCCAAAATAAAGATACCCAGTAAAACGGTTCCACGAAAATCGGTTACCTGATGCATCAAGGGGTTTACTTTACTAGTCAGATTTACACATTAAAATTTGATTTCAGTTCTGAGCACAAAAAAAAAAAGACAAGAAATATCTTAGTTTTCTAAGGCCATGCTTCAAAACGTTATTTTAAAGTTTTTGTGTTCTGAAAGTTGAAACTTGAAATTTTAATGCGTAAATGGAACCTGTAATATACACATTCGACTATTTGATATACTCGATGATTTTAGCGGGAACATTCATTTTGGGACACCTGGTATATATAATTTACAAAATCTGCATTTCTTCTAAGAAATGCAGATTTTATAAATCTGCATAAATCTGCGCGTTTTATTGCACTTGAATTAAGCTTTTTTTAAATCACCTAAATCTATTTCAACAGTTGAAGATCCGACAGATAAGAAGAAGGTGCCTTGCATGGACCTTGGTAACCTAGGTATGTATAAACTTTTCCGTTCTGGAGTAAAAGTTTGAGTTGGCAAATTTCTAATCAAGTGACTTTGTTAGTTGGATCTGAGACTGCTTTTCTAAAAGTTTACAAGGAGAAGCTAAAGCTGCTGAAATTAAAATAAAAAAAATGTCTTTTTAGGTTATTTTTTAAGAAAATAATTAGAAAATTAAAACTTAACTTGTTCAATATATTGTATGTTCCAAGCTGTACGCTATATCATAGAGCCTACTTAAGTTTTACACTAATGTAAAACGTTTTCTAGTTCTACACCAGTCGTACGCACATATTTAAAAAAAATAAGGAGTGTAAGATGGGGCCACCATTATATAGTTGGTTTGCATTCTTGAAGCTGCTTTCATTACACAGAGCCAAATGGAAGTGAACACAATGAGCCTTGCGAAGCTTTGGAGCACTACGAAACAGCTCCCTCCAAAACATTGCAGGGGGTAAGACCCACAAGAGAAGGCGAGTGGAGTGGACACATGCAGAGTTGTGAATCTAAAATATGATCCGATTTTCATTGTTTATATTTATAGCAAACTAAGCGCTGCTTGCACAAGACAATACCCTGAAGCGAACTCCCGTGGTAGGTGGGTTGGCATTTATGCAGCTTTTTGAATGTAGAATGCGTCACCCTTGAATGCATTGCATATTTAGAGATAGTCAAGGCTCACAGGCTTTTCAAGCCCCTAGCAATATGTCAGGTGAGTTGACTGTGTATATGCAGGATTAAAGAAACACTGAAATTAAAAAAATATATACATAGTATTTTTAAACAATCTAGATAGAACATGCATATTGTAAAATAAATGTTCAGCAAAAAAACTATTTTTAAAGCAATATTTTTGGCATTACTTATTTTTAGTTAGCAGCTTTTAAACAATTATGCCATACATATGTACGCGTCTCATCTGCCGCTCATTTGATTAGCCAATGAGAAGTCATAATTTTGGTGTGAGCATTTAAAAGCTGCTCACTAAAATTAGTCTAACGCCAAAAATATTGCTCCAAAAAGTTTTTTTGCTGAACATTTTTTTTACAAGATGCCTGTTGTATTCAGGCTATTCAAATTCTTTGTTTGTTTTAGTGTTTCTGTAATTGAAACAACATCCTGTATTTACCAATTTATACAGTACACCTGGAGCTGGCTGCACAGGCACCTCGGGTGGTGTGTTGTATGGCAGGTGAGCTGCCTCTTGCCACTTTCAGAGCATTGCCTTCTTATTCAGTTTTAACGATCTGGTACAAACACACCTTTTTTTTTTAATATAATTTATGCAGCACACCCAGGACCGGCCGAATGGGCACCCCAGGCTGGGGGTTTTATGGCAGGTGAGCTGCCTTTTGCCACCGTCAGAGCATTGCCTTGTTATTAAATTTTAATGATCTGGTGCAAGCATAGCATTTTTTTATAAATACCATTTATACAGCACGCCCAGAACCAACTGAACGGGCACCCCAGGCTGGGGGTTCTATGGCAGGTGAGCTGCCTCTTAGCACTTCAGGGATATTGACTTCGGGAGAACGAAATTTGTAAATGGTGTCAAGGTTGAAAAAACTAAAATGCCTCACTGCCTTTTAATCCTGTCATTCAATTTCATCACAAGGTGGTTCCTGCAGCAAGGAATTCTCCCACCAGTCGGATGGTTCCGTAAGTACCTAATTTGTTTCGTAAGGTGCATCCGAAAGGGGTAGCTTCACAAACCAAGCAAAAGAAAAATCTGCAGCATTTCTATTCAGTATACCATACAGGTGGAAAAAAATGTAATCTTTTGGGGGTAAAAAGCAAAGCAAAGTATGTGTTGCTTTCTTTTATTAGTGATCAAATGTTTTAATTCAGAGTTAAAGAGGTAAGTACCAGTGATATTCTGACCTAAAAATAACTTTTTTGCTTTTTAACACCCATAATAGATATCTGAAGTATCCCAATCACAATACAGTAAAAGCTTGTTTATCCGGATTTCGTTAACTCGGAATTTCGGATAACTCGGACTCGCCACGCAGTCCCTACAATTCTACGTGTAGCTCAATGGCGTCATATGCTCGTTAACTCGGAGGTATTCTGCCTCGCACTGGTTAACTCGGACAATCCCCTAAGAGGGTTATCGCAATTTTCAGCTTTCAGCCGCACGATGCTGGGTGTCTGGAAGCCGTAAACACCCTCTCGTTGCGCCGCCACCGGCGGCCGGACAGCTGCGCGCCAAGTCACGAGAACTGCGATGGCGGCGATAGTGAACGAGCGAGTCGCTGCTAGGCGGCGCTAAATGCCACCCAATATGGACGTAGCAGCCGAACTATCTAGCGTTCATTGAAGCCGCGAGGACCCAGCGTGACGGAGAGGGCGGTTCGCGCCACTTGCTTCTGATTTGCGCTGCGTTTTGTTCGGGGGGTTGTAATCGCTTTGTTGGTGGGGGGTTTTCTGTGCCATCACACCTTCATGCTCTGCAGTGATGGCAACTGCCACCTCGACGAAGCGCCCGCAGCAGCGAGCGAACGATTTAGAAACCAAGATCAAGATCTTGACAGACGTCAAGCAAGGCGTCCCTCGGCAAGAAATAATGAAGAAGTATGGTGTCAAGAGGAGCACTCTAAGCGACTATGTCAAGAAGGAAGCTAAAATATTTGAAGCCTTTGACAGTGGCAAGTTCACCGGGAAGAGGAAAAGACTTAGGACGGCTGCGCACCCGAAGCTGGAAGAAGCACTGCTGCGATGGATCACAGACGCGCGCAACGGCCAGCTTCCTTTGAGCGGCCCACTTATCTGCCAGCAAGCAGAAAGGTTCGCAGCGAAAATGAGCATCGATTCCTTCAGTGCATCATAGGGGTGGCTTGCCCGTTTCAAAGAACGACACGGCTTGGCCTTTCGGAATGTTTGCGGGGAGAAAGGAGCTGTTGATGAACATTGCGTGGATAATTGGAGGACGACTGTGCTTCCTCGGCACCTCGCTGCTTACGAACCTGCGGACATATTCAACGCTGATGAAACAGCACTTTTTTTTAAAGCCCTACCGGACAAAACCATCACGTTTAAGGGCGACCCGTGCGTGGGTGGCAAGAGGAGCAAAGAAAGAGTTACCGTGCTTCTCGCTTCGAATATGTCCGGCACGGAGCGCCTACCGCTCCTCGTCATTGGGAAAGCAAATAGCCCAAGGTGCTTTAAAGGAGCTGTGCAACGATTTTAACGTTGAAAGAATTGGCATTTTCTGCTTTTGATATTGTTCACTGTGTCACAAATGGCAGAAAACACACCTCCTTTCATCGCAATGTTGCGATTCCGCCGCATAATAGCGAGGCAAAACTTGGAATATTTCCCGACCTGCAGCCACGAGCGGCGGCCATGAGAAACAAGCGGCGTGACGTCACTTGGGTCGTTGTAAGAAAGATAGCAAGTTGTGCGAATACCTGCTCGATAAAAGGTAACTCTTTTTACAAATCTTGTCATTCCAACATATATATAAATGCGTCAACACCCTGGTATCATCGACAACTTTTATTATACGGAGTTTTAGTGGCGCCATCTATCCTAGGTCCACAAAACCGCGAACAGCCGCCAGAAGCCGGAGGGGGAGGGGGACAGCGCCGGACGGGCAAGGACGGGTGGTCACGCGGTCGGCAGCGGATGAGTTCTCGCTGCTCGCTGATGGCTCTAAAGAGAGAACTTTTCCGGAACTCCGCGCCTACTCTAGTGACGTCACTGTGCACGTGACCCGGAAGACGATGCACGAGTTGAGAGGCGGCAAAAACCTGGATCTTTTTCATTTTTTTAAGTAAAAACTAGGGTATCCAGGCAAAATCTGTTTTCTGTAGTTCACTGCAGAAGTGTCAGGCATCAACTTCCACAATTATTTAAGCAAAGCCCTGAAATTGTTGCACAGCTCCTTTAAGAACGCCGGCCGTCTCCCTGTGGAGTATCGAGCCAACAGAAAAGCTTGGATGACCTCTAAATTGTTTCAAGCTTGGCTGAGACAGCTTGACCACCGCTTCTCCACCAACAAGCGCAAGGTTCTCATGGTGGTCGACAATTGCAGCGCACACAAGAATGTGGAGGGGCTCGAATGTATCGAGCTCTTATTCCTCCCTCCTAACATGACGGCCTCATTGCAGCCGCTGGATCAAGGGATTATCCAATACGTTAAGGGCAAGTACCGAAGGCATGTACTGGAACGAATGCTGCTGTGCATGGAGGCAGGCCGAGAATACGATCTTAACCTGCTCAGCGCAGTTCACATTTTGGCTCATGTCTGGAGAAACACGCCGGCCGAGGTGATAGCCAACTGCTTCAGGCACAGTGGGTTCGTCCGCCCTGATGTTTGTGAGGCCATTCTTGATGCCACCTCGGAGGACAGCCAAGAAACTGCTGAAGAGGTGGATGACAGTTGTCTCGAGCGTGTCCTGCCCAGTGGTGTACAGCTTGCCGATTATATCGCTATAGATCGCGATGTTACCATTGCTGGTCAGTTGAGTGACGATGAAATAATATCGGGAGTGCTCGGCGAACACGACGAGCATGATTCCGATGATGCGTCCGATCAACCGTCACGACGTCGCACTGTCAAGGAAGCCGCAGAGGCCCTCGCCGTGTTAGAAGAATTTTGTGACGGGATCCCCGAAAGTCAGTACGCTCACAATCATTTAATGGGGTTGAAGAAAATTGTCCTTCGTCAACTTTCTGCGAAGAAGCAAACACGAATAACCGAGTTTTTCCAGAAATAAATGTATGCCCATGCAGAACACATTTTTTCCAGTGCTTTTATAGTCCATTCAATAATCCGGATTTCGGTAAACTCTGACATTTCTGCCGGTCCCTTGCGATCCGAATTAACGAACTTTTATTGTACCTATTTTTTCTGCAAATTATGCCACATCAGAGATTCGGTGCACCAAAAGGAGTATCGAAAAGCATCCCCTGAATCCATTCATCATGAAACTTGACCAAATTTATTATCCCGATCGCTTAGTAGTGTTATTTCGTGTTGTGTCACTCAGATTTGAAAATTCTTCAACTTCTAGTCCAGTATTTATGACATGGCTCACAAGGTTATATCTACAATTTCACCTTCAGAAGGGAGTTGCCGTGACGAACCTTCAAAGAAAAAGGATTTGGCAACACACTAAACCCACAACGGTCGTCAAGGAGACAGCGCAGTATATTTGGTCGCAAGCTAGACTGGCAGCCCAAGTGTAAAGGGGGTGCTCGCACCAAAAAAGAGAGGTTCGGGCGAATTGCCGAAGCCAGCAATGACCCCAGAAAAGGTTGACATTGTTAAGGGCGAGATTGCTAGTCTGAACAAATTGTTGTCAAGTCTGTAACATTTTGCTTTTTCATTTGCAGTTACCTTGTCCTACTGGGGTGCTGAGAAGAGGGTGGACGTTGCTGCGGTGGCAGGTAACTTGACTACCGTATTTACTCGCGTAATCCTCGCACTCGCGTAATCCTCGCACCCCTAATGTGGGCCACCAAAAATAGAATTTTTCTTTTCCTCGCGTAATCCTCGCACCCCCAAAACTGCAGCGGCGAAAGTCGCCTGCTCGTGAAACCCGCATATGGCGCACGCACTCTCCACCGCCCGCATTTTCCGGCACCGCGCCGCTCCGTATGGCCAGAGTGCTAGCAGTCCTAGCGCCATCTGTCAGACTCTAGTCATACTGTCGTTGAGCCGGTCTCGCGACCGCAACGGTAGACGGCGTTAGCGCAGCCCCCGGTCGTCGCGTGTCGCGTCGCAATCAGTTGTCGAACTGGTCGAACGTCGAACGCTTTGAGCCAACCTCTTTGTTCGGTGCTGGTTGCCACTTCGCCATGGGGCGATACGCCAACTACACGGCTGCTTTCAAGCTGAAAGCAATAAACTACGCTATTGAGCACGGCAACCGCGCCGCAAGCAGACACTTCGGCGTCAACGAGTTCAACGTGCGCTACTGGAGGCGGCAGCACAGGGAGCTGCAGGCGACCAACAGGACACGCCGGGCTTTCCGTGGTCCAAAGACTGGCAAGTTTCCCCGAATTGAGACGCTGCTCATGGACTACGTCAAGGCTCTACGCTCCGATGGGTGCGCCGTGTCCATTGAGCTTTTGTGCAACAAGGCGCGCGCAATTGCCAGAAAGGAAGGCGTCCCGGCACAAGACTTCCGCGCCAGTAACGGGTGGGCCACGCGTTTCATGCGGCGCAATGGTCTCTCTTTGAGGAGGCGTACAACGCTTTGCCAACGCCTGCCCGAAGCCTACGAGGATAAGATCGTGGACTTCCACCGGTTCGTCATTAGGATTCGGCAGCAGAACAATTTTTTGCTGTCGCAGATTGGGAACGCGGACCAAACGCCTATTAATTTCGACATGCCCAGCAGCACTACTTTGGAGCAGAAAGGCGCACGCACCGTCCACGTACGCACGTCTGGCGCAGAGAAGCAGCGATGCACGGTAATGCTAGCTGTGACGGCGGACGGTCGGAAGCTGCCACCGTACATCATCTTCAAACGAAAGACTCTCCCCAAAGGAAAGTTTCCCCCTGGTGTGCACGTACGGGTGCAAGAAAAAGGCTGGATGAGTGCTGCCCTCATGGTCGACTGGCTTAAGACTGTGTGGGGGCGGCGACCGGGAGCACTTCTTTTTCCGTCGCTCCTCGTTCTCGATAGCTTTCGGGGCCATCTTGTGGAACCGGTTCGCACAAAGTTGAAGGAACTGCGCACAGACCTGGCTGTCATTCCAGGTGGCCTAACGTCCGTGCTGCAGCCTTTGGACGTGTCTTTGAACAAACCATTCAAAGATAATGTTCGAAGGTTGTATGCAGAGTGGATGGCCGAAGGCCAACACGATCTGACGCCGGCCGGCAAGATAAAGAGACCATCGGTGGAGCAGCTGTGCAGCTGGATAGCGGAAGCGTGGGGGATGATCGGAGCAGACATCATCGTGAAGAGGTTCAAAAAGACTGGCATATCAAATGCCTTGGATGCTACTGAAGACCACTTGGTGTGGGAAGAAGACGAGGCGTCCGAAGCCGACGAGAAATCGGGAGGTGACGACGAGACAACCACCAGCGATGCTACCACTGATTCGGACTGAGGCTCGAGTGTTTCCAAATTAAATCTTACTTTGTCTTAAACCTGTGGTTTTATTGCTAAGGTAAGCCCTGTATTGCTACTTCTAAAAACTTTTAGGTAGCTGCCGGCGCGAAAACCCCAATTTGCTGGCGCTTCGGTTTTTTATTTTTATTTTTTTAGAGCTCTACGTTTTCGGGAAAAAATTTTCCCCGCGTAATTCTCGCACCCCCAGCTTTCCATCGATTTTCCGCAAAAAAAAGTGTGAGGATTATGCGAGTAAATACGGTAATATCCTGTCTGAAAAAATACAGGATTCTATCAAAGCGGAGCGGCGGCTACTGAACGAGCAGGACTGAGGATCAGTCATCAGTGATCAATAAATTTCCACAATGTACAGATGCATAGTTCATTATTTAGTCTAGTATTTATGGGGGATGTCCTTGCCCCAACTGAAACCAATTGCAACTGGTACCAGTTGAACTGGAAACTTGTACCGTAAACCAGTTTAACTGGGACCAGTCAGATACCAGTTAGACATTTTCACCTGGGTACCGACTGTTAAACCAAGTTCCTAAAATTAATGGCCATCTCACTGGGCTCTACTACCGAAACTGATCATGCAATTAAAGAATAGTACCAAATATAATAAAATAAGATTCATACACACTTTTTTAGTCTGTTTGATGTCTATAATAAATAAAAGAGAAAGTATAATTTACGCAGTGACGTTTACTTTTGTTGAACAGAATCCGAATCCAAAGATGCCGTTACGCATCACGGTTGTCCCTCGTTCACGAGTTACCGCAGGGAGTCGGGGAGTTGGAAGTTTTTCTGTACTTTCTTAAGCAATTACGAAGTAAGATGTGGCAAACGCCCATTCCGCCAAAGCGGCGTAAACTCTACTTAGATCCGTCATTTGACGTAGAGGACCTACCGTGGATGACGGAATACAGGGCATCTCGTGCCGAAAGAGCGAACGCACAAAGGACATCTAACAATGGTGCAAACTGGGCTGTGCTGACCGTGCCGGTCAATAATGGACCATCCGCAACTGGGAACTGTTCGCCAGCCGATAGCGCTCCTGATGATGAGCAAGCTGGAGACGAAGATGATCCTCAAAGATTTGTCATGGAGGCTGTAGATGAGGAGCACAAGTGCGGAGATGGTGGCGGCAACTGCGAACTCCTCCTGACACAGACTTTTCGGCGGAAGACCTTGTCACTTTGGTGATGAACTTCGCAGTCACATCTGGAATGCCGTGGACGATAGTTGAGAAACTTATGACGTTTGCGAGTTTCATCCTAAAAAGAAATGATCTTCCGGACACAAAGTTTTTGTTCAAAACGTTCGCGGGGATTTTGCTGAGCAGCTTTGTTTCATTTTTACTGCCCAGACTGCATGCGTCTCCTCGGTGAATGTGAAGGGGACATCAAGAAGATGAGAGTTGAAAGTGACCTGTGCACAGTGCAGTCAAGAGTACACTAGAGAAGCCCTTACTAGAGAGGCCAGATATTTTATATATTTATAACATATTTTATATACGTCTATTCTAAAGCACATTGATGGTCATTCTTTGTTTAACCCATTCGAACACGGCTTCCGGAAAGGGCTGTCGTGTGTGACACAGTTAACAGAATTCACCCACGATATTGCACAAGCACTGGACAACCGTGCAACTGTAGACTGTGTCTTTATAGACTTTCGGAAAGCATTCGACTAGGTTCCCCATACATTATTGGTGCAAAAATTGTCGAATTTTAATATTAACCCTAAAGTTATTTCCTGGATTGCTGAGTATCTCCGTGAAAGGCGTCAGTACGTTGTAGTTAGTGGTGCAGCATCGACAATCGCTGATGTGACATCAGGGGTGCCACAGGGATCAGTCTTAGGACCTTTACTTTTCTTAATTTATATAAATGATATTAATGAAAACGTTACGTCGTGTATGAGAATGTTTGCCGATGATTGCGTACTGTATAAAAAAATAACCTGTGAAAGTGATAATCAGATAGTACAGAATGATTTAGATGCAATATACACCTGGTGCGAAAAATGGGGGATGAAACTGAATCTAGATAAAACTGTGTCCATGACGTTTTCGAGAAAGCAAGTTAAAACTAATTTTCGTTATGTAGTCAACAATATTATTTTACAAACAGTGTCTGAATATAAGTATTTAGGCGTCTACTTCACAGCCTCGCTGAGTTGGCATCGACATGTGGATTTCACTATTGCAAAAGCTAGCAGATCTTTAGGGTTCATAAAGCGCAACACTAGACAGTTTCCGCATGACATCCGAGAACTCTTGTATAAAACTAATGTGCGCTCCATACTAGAATATGCCTGCACGGTATGGGACCCTCCGACAAACACCGACAAAGAGAAAATAGAGAAAGTGCAAAACCTAGCCGCTCGGTATGTGTTAGGAAAACCAAAACGGGGTGGTGATTTTAGCGCGACGCGTGCAAGGCAAACATTAAAATGGGACACACTCGAGCACCGTCGAGCAAAGCTTTGTTTAAAGCTTTTCCATAGCATATATCATTCACAATCTGGTATTCCATGCGAAACCTATATTTCTTCACCACATTATGTATCTGCTCGTGTGGATCATGCCCACAAAGTGCGTGAGCTTAGATGCAAGACTGTAGCATACAGTAGCTCTTTTTTCCCTAAAACGATTTCCCAATGGAATCGGTTGCCTTCAACCATAGCGTCTGTTATAGACAATGATGCTTTTTATGCTGCCCTAGAAACAGTCACGTCATTCGATTGAAAAGGTTCATAGCATGATTCTAATAATGTTTTTGTAAAACTTGTTGCAATCTGCTCCGTGTCGCGATAATTGTGACTTTGTTGTTTCATGTTCGCGAAATCCTTTTTGTTCGATTGGTTGTCTTTTTATGAATGTTTCCAATGTAGTACCTGTGACTTCATACTTGATTTTTTGTGTATAACCCCCCCACTGTAATGCCGAAAGGCGCTGTGGGTATCAAATAAATAAATAAATAAATAAAATAAATCACTCAAGGAATCTCTGCAGAAAATTTCTGATCGTTCTCACCCAATTGTGGAGGGTGATATTACAGATGGGGATCTGTATTGCAAACGAGAGCTTAACCTTAAAAAAATGGTCATAACCATGACTGTGAACTCGGACGGCAGTCCGCTTCTTAATTCGTCAAAATTTTCGACATGGCCCGTGCAAATGACGATTAACGAGCTTTCTTCACATCTTCGGTGCAAGAACCTGACTGTCTCTGTGCTTTGGTATGGGCAGTGCCATCCAGATACAACTAGTGCTGCAGGCATTTACTAAGCAGATGGACTCTCTCGCTCAGACTGGTGTGTCATGGACCTGTGATAACGTTCCACTCAAAGGTAATATTTTTTCTCATAAAAACCATAGCGGCTGTTGATTTAAATTGTTATTTTTAATCATAAATTTTGTTGGTTTATTTTGCAAGTAATACTCAATCTAGAAAAATTAATTTTTTAACTTCCATTTTTTTACAGATGTATTTTTAATTCCTAACCAGCTTACAGCTACACATGTGGATCAGTGCCTCATAATGACATACAGAACTTGAGCTCTTTTTTATTCTTTTCTGCAGTAACAGTAGTATAATCATAGAGTTCCTGTGGGATTATCTTTTTGTATAATTTTGTAATCTATTAGCCCCAAAAATGTTCGCGTGGCGCCCCCTTACGGCAAACCGGGGTGACGTCACGGCGAGGAGTGAATTTTTTCCCGACTCGCGCCGCTCGCCCTGTGGAGGCTGTGACGACGCTAGCTGTCGGCGCGTTCGTTTCTATATTTTTTTTTCTGGCATGTTTTTCGTAGGAAGTATAACCGTTTATATGTGCCTTTATTGAGGTATGGCTTGTAGCTACAGGTGAAACTTCAACCAACATTTTAAGCATGGTAGACAGGGCAGGCAACGCATGAATCGGAGCTGGTATATGAAAATACAGAAATATGGCCACAATTGCAGGAGCATCACTATAGATTTACATCTCACACAATAAACGCTGCTGATGCTGATGGTTTGGATGAATTGGCAGGTTACGTATACCATTTTTTTTTGTGTCTCCGTTTTTAAACAAGATCGCCGAAGCAGAAAAGCTGCATGCTGCTCGAGCAACATGCTAAATACAGTCTGGGCCATGGGGAGAGAATCAAAAGTAAGACAGCCCAAGTGCAGGGGCAAAGGAAAAAAAAAACAAGGAACATTTATTATATACATTGCTCGCATTTGACCTTTGCTGGATTCGGATAGTATTTCAATGGAATACACGGGTGGTATCTGTGGACTTGTTTATATCAACCCTCAAGTAATGTATAACAAGCGTAGGCGAAGGTGTCTAGCTCGTTATTAGTCCATTAAGTCCTAAAATTGAGATTTTACTTAAATCGAAATGTACTGAAGCTAAAATACCAGAAGCTTTTCTCACGCAGACTGTCACCCTTCACAGGTTCCACATTTTATGCTACTAGTGCTGCATCTACCACTGGACAGACGTTTGAATCCTTGCTTTTACTCCTGTTTTCCTCTGTTGTCAGAGAGTCCAGCTGTAGGGGAGTTTGGAGGCTGAGGAAGCTTTTGGGGACCTGCAGCAGTGTCTCTTTTAATTGGAAATGACAATTCAGACTAAACGGTGTATTTTCTGAATACCCAAGGCTGGAATAAAAATGTCAGGAAAAAATATAAACATTCCAAATTACGGCACTATTGCTGTGCATATTTTGGGCAGTTCAATACATAGCATACAGGCATCTGGAGGCAATTCGGCCGTCTTTGCTGCTACCATACAAACTAATTTCCAGTAATTGGGAATCTTTGAAGAAATATGCCTGCATACATGTATAAACTATATAATTAATTCACGAAGAAGCTACATTTATGTAAGACAACCCTGTTCCATGAGCACTTCAAAGATAATCAGACACAGGGCCTTTGAAACATCTGCGAACCAGCGCATGCAGAGTGGCAGCGCAAAGTCGGAGTCGCGAGCTCATTTGCCGACCACCCAAAGGCCCATTATATAAATGCCACTTCAAATGCCTTGAAAGCGGGATGTAATATCGTCCTAAATGATGAACGTGCAAGGAACAGAATTCCAGCGTCTGAAACACTTGCGGCACCGCTTCACCGATCCCTCGCAAAATTGCCTCCGTCGATTGCTTTCGGGATTTGTAACCCAATTTTAAAGGTAAAAGGGACGAGCAGGCTTATAAAATGTACGGGAGCACGTCAATATCGGCCTAACTTAACGTCTTGTACACCGGGAAAACGATGTCCAGCTCCTCGAAGAGCTTGCGGCGCACATCGCCAAACCAAGAAACCGGTGCTGGGAAGCGAGCCGATGCGAGATCGCGGAGCGGAGTA